TACCGTAAAATTACATGTAATGTCCAATACAGTTTTTCACCGTATATAGTAGGGGAATTTACCGTTAACCATTTAACAGGTTTTTACTGTAGCATTTTTACAGTCTTTTACCATTAAATTCACGATTTTTTACAGTGTATGAAATATCTTTAAATATTCTGATGCTGACATGAATGCATTGCAGTTGTTAAGACTGTGCTACTGCAGGGGGTTCATGAGGGCCAGCTGTCCAGCGAATGAATTATGCATTCAGAAGAAAAGTGACACTGTCCGCATCTCTTCATGCCTCATAGCCTAGGATCAGATATCTGCAGTGTGGGGCCACAGGTGGATAACTTAATACTACCAAGAGAGCATGCTAGAAGCACTGACTGCTGCAGCCATATGCTGCTGTGCACCGGCACCAAAAGATAGATGGAGAGACCAAGGGAACAAAACTGTTTCTATCAAATACAGCAGGGACTAGAAATCTAGAACGGGGCGAAGAAGTCTGAAGGAACCCATTGTTCTTATTTACAGCGATCTCTAACCCTGCATTTTTCAAAGTCATCTTTTGTTGACAGCAAAAACTCTTAACAACATCATCATTGTTATGCTGATGGTCAGGAATAATGAGGATTTTACATAACCACTAAGAATTACTACAGCAGCTGCAGCTCTAATTTAGGACAAAACGTATAAATGCATCTTTGCATCCATCAAACACAAGTGTTGTTTTCGTGGAGATTTGTAGTCTATCAGTGTGGTATAAAAGTCTTTGGAGATGCTGAATGCTATATTTACTCATGGGTGCATTTAAACTGGACAATTTCTGCATGCAATCTGATTAATTTCTGTGATTTAACAAAGAATGTCACATGTGATATCTGAAGTGCTGCTGGCAGGTTCATAACAGACAAGAAGCCACTGTAATGAAGTTTGGTGATGGGATACAAATAGAATTAAAGCTGCAAGCAGCGATGAACGGGCCCTCGCACCCGGGCTCACCGCCAGCGGGCGGCTTTAGTAAAACAGTCAACGGCGAGCAATATGGATTTAAAGTGGTCAATATAGGAGGAATATGTCAAAGTCATTTATATGTGGCAATCTTCCTGCTGCCAGCTGGTGGCGCTATGACTGTAATCGAATATGAGTATGTAGATGTCTTCAGGCCAGGACTCTAATCAAACATGTGAAGTTTGAGGCAGATTGGACACTGCATGCTTGAGTTACATCAACTTCCTCTTTCACTGCATTAATAGCATGCTTTAGCACTTAGCTAAGTGTTGCTAGCATGTTTGAGCATATTTCTAGCATGTTTAGCACACAAAGCCATATTTTTACTGTGTTGCTAATAGTGCATCACAGTGTTAAACATGTCACTTCCTTTTGCCAATAGGTGGCGCTATAATTGTAACCAAATATAAGCATGTAGATGTCTTCAGGCCAGGACTCTAATCAAACATGTGAAGTTTGAGGCAGATTGGACACTGCATGCTTGAGTTACATCAACTTCCTCTTTCACTGCATTAATAGCATGCTTTAGCACTTAGCTAAGTGCTGCTAGCATGTTTTAGTATGTTTCTAGCATGTTGCCAGCCTATGTAACAGATGCTGACGAATTTTTATATGTTCCTAGGAGTCCAGAACAGTGTTAAGCATGTCACTTCCTGTTGCCAGCAGGTGGCGCTATGAGAATAACTGAATTTGGGCATGGGTATTTGTTCAGGACATAACACCTATATAACGTGTGAAGTTTGGGGCAGTTTGTAGACTGCATGCCTGAGTTACAGTAACTTCCTCTTTCACTGCATTAATAGCATGCTTTAGCACTTAGCTAAGTGTTGATAGCATGTCTTAGTATGTTTCTAGCATGTTGCCAGCCTATGTAACAGTTGCCGACGAATTTTTATATGTTCCTAGGAGTCCATAACAGTGTTAAGCATGTCACTTCCTGTTGCCAGCAGGTGGCGCAATGAGTATAACTGAATTTGGGCATGGGTATTTGTTCAGGACATAACACTTATCAAACGTGTGAAGTTTGGGGCAGATTGGACACTGCATGCCTGAGTTACAGTAACTTCCTCTTTCACTGCATTAATAGCATGCTTTAGCACTTAGCTAAGTGTTGCTAGCATGCTTTAGTATGTTTCTAGCATGTTGCTAGCCTATTTAACACTTGCTGACGCTTTTTAATATGTTCCTTGGGGTTCATAACAGTGTTAAGCATGTCACTTCCTGTTGCCAGCAGGTGGCGCAATGAGTATAACTGAATTTGGGCATGGGTATTTGTTCAGGACATAACACTTATCAAACGTGTGAAGTTTGGGGCAGATTGGACACTGCATGCCTGAGTTACAGTAACTTCCTCTTTCACTGCATTAATAGCATGCTTTAGCACTTAGCTAAGTGTTGCTAGCATGCTTTAGTATGTTTCTAGCATGTTGCTAGCCTATTTAACACTTGCTGACGCTTTTTAATATGTTCCTTGGGGTTCATAACAGTGTTAAGCATGTCACTTCCTGTTGCCAGCAGGTGGCGCAATGAGTATAACTGAATTTGGGCATGGGTATTTGTTCAGGACATAACACCTATATAACGTGTGAAGTTTGGGGCAGTTTGTAGACTGCATGCCTGAGTTACAGTAACTTCCTCTTTCACTGCATTAATAGCATGCTTTAGCACTTAGCTAAGTGCTGCTAGCATGTTTTAGTATGTTTCTAGCATGTTGCCAGCCTATGTAACAGATGCTGACGAATTTTTATATGTTCCTAGGAGTCCATAACAGTGTTAAGCATGTCACTTCCTGTTGCCAGCAGGTGGCGCTATGAGAATAACTGAATTTGGGCATGGGTATTTGTTCAGGACATAACACTTATCAAACGAGTGAAGTTTGGGGCAGATTGGACACTGCATGCCTGAGTTACAGTAACTTCCTCTTTCACTGCATTAATAGCATGCTTTAGCACTTAGCTAAGTGCTGCTAGCATGTTTTAGTATGTTTCTAGCATGTTGCCAGCCTATGTAACAGTTGCCGACGAATTTTTATATGTTCCTAGGAGTCCATAACAGTGTTAAGCATGTCACTTCCTGTTGCCAGCAGGTGGCGCTATGAGAATAACTGAATTTGGGCATGGGTATTTGTTCAGGACATAACACTTATCAAATGTGTGAAGTTTGGGGCAGATTGGACACTGCATGCCTGAGTTACAGTAACTTCCTCTTTCACTGCATTAATAGCATGCTTTAGCACTTAGCTAAGTGCTGCTAGCATGTTTTAGTATGTTTCTAGCATGTTGCCAGCCTATGTAACAGTTGCCGACGAATTTTTATATGTTCCTAGGAGTCCATAACAGTGTTAAGCATGTCACTTCCTGTTGCCAGCAGGTGGCGCAATGAGTATAACTGAATTTGGGCATGGGTATTTGTTCAGGACATAACACCTATATAACGTGTGAAGTTTGGGGCAGTTTGTAGACTGCATGCCTGAGTTACAGTAACTTCCTCTTTCACTGCATTAATAGCATGCTTTAGCACTTAGCTAAGTGCTGCTAGCATGTTTTAGTATGTTTCTAGCATGTTGCCAGCCTATGTAACAGATGCTGACGAATTTTTATATGTTCCTAGGAGTCCATAACAGTGTTAAGCATGTCACTTCCTGTTGCCAGCAGGTGGCGCAATGAGTATAACTGAATTTGGGCATGGGTATTTGTTCAGGACATAACACCTATATAACGTGTGAAGTTTGGGGCAGTTTGTAGACTGCATGCCTGAGTTACAGTAACTTCCTCTTTCACTGCATTAATAGCATGCTTTAGCACTTAGCTAAGTGCTGCTAGCATGTTTTAGTATGTTTCTAGCATGTTGCCAGCCTATGTAACAGTTGCCGACGAATTTTTATATGTTCCTAGGAGTCCATAACAGTGTTAAGCATGTCACTTCCTGTTGCCAGCAGGTGGCGCAATGAGTATAACTGAATTTGGGCATGGGTATTTGTTCAGGACATAACACTTATCAAACGAGTGAAGTTTGGGGCAGATTGGACACTGCATGCCTGAGTTACAGTAACTTCCTCTTTCACTGCATTAATAGCATGCTTTAGCACTTAGCTAAGTGCTGCTAGCATGTTTTAGTATGTTTCTAGCATGTTGCCAGCCTATGTAACAGTTGCCGACGAATTTTTATATGTTCCTAGGAGTCCATAACAGTGTTAAGCATGTCACTTCCTGTTGCCAGCAGGTGGCGCAATGAGTATAACTGAATTTGGGCATGGGTATTTGTTCAGGACATAACACTTATCAAACGAGTGAAGTTTGGGGCAGATTGGACACTGCATGCCTGAGTTACAGTAACTTCCTCTTTCACTGCATTAATAGCATGCTTTAGCACTTAGCTAAGTGCTGCTAGCATGTTTTAGTATGTTTCTAGCATGTTGCCAGCCTATGTAACAGTTGCCGACGAATTTTTATATGTTCCTAGGAGTCCATAACAGAAACAACATAGTTATTTCAACAAAAAAACATCAAATTTGAAATGTAACGCAGGGAATTCTGGGAATGTCAATTTACGGTTATTCACTGTAAATTATACGGTCTTTTTCACTTCCAAAAACGATATACTACCGTAAAACTAATGTCCAATACATGTAATGTCCATTACAGTTTTTCAACCGTATATAATAGGGGAATTTACCGTTAACCATTTAACAGGTTTTTACTGTAGCATTTTTACAGTCTTTTACCGTTAAATTCACGGTCATTTTTTACAGTGTAGGGTTTATTAAATGTCCAGCAATGGAGAAATATGCCTTTTCCCCTCACAGATGTTGAAGTTATAGCATCAACCAGCAAGGGCAAACTGTCAAACACCAACAAACCCCTTCCAGAAAATACTGTATTGGACAAAAACTGCTCCTAGAAAGGATATTTCTAGCCCAGAGAAAGCAATTTAAAATGTATATATCTACTTATTTTGAGACTCGCATATGGAAATGAAACTGTCTGTTTTAAACCAGCCATTACCTTTTGTCTGCGGGAGGGGTTTCTTTGTTGGCTGGCGCCTCCTGTAGATCTGGAAGGTTGGCAAAGTCATCTTGTTCGGCCAATCCGATCGCGAGGGACAGTACGACCATCTTCCCCTCTCTGTCACAAAACACACAATCAAACAAGTGGTGAGCAAAAGCCAATATAAAGTAGAAAACAAAAGCTGATCAAAATAAACTTGGATGTTGACTTGACAAAGGCTGGTCTGAAAGCTAGAAAAAGAAAAAGGCTTTAAAAAAACAAGATTGTACAATAACAGTATGTTGGCAAGTTTAGGAACTTTTTTGGAAAGAAATAAATACTTTTATTCAGCAAGGATGCATTACAATACATGACAATAAAGACATTATGTTACAAAAGATTTCTATTTGACATACCGATCTCCTCATCAGAGAACCTTGAAAATAAAAAAGTATCAAGTTTCACAAAAATATTGAACAGTGCACCCGTTTTCAACATTGATAATAATCAGAAATGTTTCTTGAGCAGCAAATCAGCATATTAGAATGATTTCTGAAGGATCATGTGACACTGAAGACTGGAGTAATGATGCTGACAATTCAGCTTTGTTCACAGGAATAAATTACATCTTAAAATATATTGAATTAGAAAACACATATTAAATAGTAATAATAATTCACAATATTACTGATTTTATTGCATTTTTGAACAAATAGTTGCAGCCTTGGTGAGCATGAGAGACTTATAAACAACAACAACAACAAAAAATCGTACCGACCCCAAACTTTTGAATAGCAGTGTAAATGTAGTATTTTGATTTGAGACAAAGATGACGCTTAAATGAAACATATTTGAAAATGCCGTTATGTCTCTGAAATCTTAATAAAAAATTACAAATAAAACAGCATTAATGATTAAATGGAGATCAAATGGAAAACGTCAATAGAGATCTAAACAATGCATCAAAACTGCAAATGCATGCAAAAAATCTCTTCTGTTTAAATATGAATGGGATGCTTTCCCTTTGTTTATATTCACAGAATCTGTTTATCACTCATTTGTTATTGTGTGTGTTCAAATCAATAAAGCGCAGCACTGCTATAGTCCACTAGAGTAAAAGCTCAGCGCTTCACGGCTCCAGCGCTACAGCACAAATCACTCACGTCCCCTGAGCAGGCAGCAGCTTAATTGCCTGTCAGACAATCATGGTATCAGGGAATTAGAGCTGGAGCCGGTTACAGTTACACAATCCTGTAAAGTGAAAGATTATTGCCAGTGCGCTAAAGGATATTAACTGTGCTGGATATTAAATTTAAACTTGTTGCACACAAATATCTATTGAATGCGGAGATCAATCTACACACCCAATACATTTACACTACCAGTCAAGAGTTTGGACACATCCTTTCCAATCTTATTCTTACTACTTTCAATATTTTAGGATAATAGCAAAGCCATCAAAACAAATTGAAGTATAGGAATGATAAAGAGACCAAGAACGTTAAAGAAATGAAAACTCTCTCATATTTGGGCTTCTTATTTGTCTAGATTACAGCTCTGCTCACTTTGAATATTCATTTAACCAACTTAATGAGGTGCATCTTGGAAAACTTTTAAATATTATTCAATGAGTTACCATTTGTTGGCTTTTTCCCTTCAATAGCTGGTCCAATTCATTCATTCATTCATTAAAAATGTTTTTAAAAATAAATAAATAAATAAAAATAAATAACATTAACGCTGATAGATTAGGAAACTGTCCTTCAACAGATACAATAAAAGAAAAAAAATAAAATAAAATTAAACAAAAAAATAAATAAACAAAACAAACAAATAACTAACAAACAACTGTTTGTGACCCTGGAGCACAAAAATAAGTAGCACGGGTATATTTGTAGCATTAGCCAAAAATACATTGTATGGGTCAAAAATATTAATTAGGATTTTAAGTAAAGATCATGTTCCATGAAGATATTTTGTAAATTTTTTATTGTAAATGCATCAAAACTTAATTTTTGATTAGTAATATGCATTGCTAAGGACTTAATTTGGACAACTTTAAAGGCGATTTTCTCAATATTTAGATTTTTTTGCACCCTCAGATTCCAGATTTTCAAATAGTATGTATCTCAGCCAAATATTGTCCTATCCTAAGAAACCATACATCAATGGAAAGCATATTTATTCAGATTTCATGTGATGTATAAATCTCAATTTCATAAAATTGACTGGTTTTGTGGTCTAGGGTCACAAATATGTTTTTCATTTTTGTTTTCAAACACAAATTTACTCAAGTGTGTCTGAACTTCTAACTTGTAGACGTTGACTGACAGGTAGAGCACAAGTTGTGCTCTTCACTGTTCCCTCAACAGAGATGGCAGAAACCTTAAAACAAAACAAAAAATGTCAAGTTCTCTATGACTAAATGGAAATCGTACTTGGTTCCTCAGACCTGGTGTGAACCGTCTCTTTCTCTCTCTCTTTACTCCTCCGTGACAGTTAATCATGCTAGAAATGATGGTGAGGACAGGAGATCAATGCTGTGTAGAGTTGATCAACACATACTGACTTCTCTAAACCATTGAACACACACACACACACACACACACACACAATATCCTATAGGGATTGTATGCTGCTAAATGACCTTGGTACAGATACACTGTCAAACAGGCTTGTGTGTAAGATCGCAAACCACAAAGACACACAGAACTCAATTGTAAACACTGTGAGTTGATAGAAAAGCAGTTACTCCTTTCTCCTGTCTTTCATTCCCTCCTCTTTTGTCTGTCAGGAGGGGCGTTAAAATCACTGAATGGGTTTCATGAAAGACACTGGATATTTGATTTAGCCTTAGTTGTTAAAGGTCCCCTGAAATGCTTAGAAACACGCAGCGTTACTCTGTACAGAAAATACTAATTCTGTGGACAAGTGACCGATTTCAGCCGCGGCTTCAGCGTCTATTTTATAGTGTAGGGGGCGGGCGCTTCGGATTCTAGAGAGCATTTGATTGGACAGAAAGTTTGATGAGAAGCTGAAGTACGATGTGACGTCAAAAAAATCGTTGTGCCGTTTTGGCGGAAGTGACGAACTGCAAGCTTTGAATGCTTATATCTTCTAAATGTGAATTTTGTCACTGTTTTGGAGCACACTGCCTTATAGATAACCTTAAGACTAACATATTGATACTAACACCCAAAAAACTTGAATTTTGATTTCATGGGGACTTTAAGACCTGAATTTCTGGGCTTTGCATTGGATCAGCTCTTCTAACAATACAGTGTTTACTGCACCACTATTCAACACTGGCAAAGAAATATGTTGATTTATTTTATATTTGACTTACACAGTCTGAATGGAATGTGATGAGAGAGAAAGACTGGGTGCGATGAAACAATACAAAGAAACAACATGTCTATGTATTTGCTGGCTGCAATGCAAAAACAAACATACAATGGGGTTTCAATCAGTCTAACAAATTACTTGTTGAATCTGTCAGAGCGGTTACTGAGTATGAACTCCGCTCATCGACTGCATGTTTGTTTGATATTACACAGGTAAACATGAAGTGTGTAATTCCTGCACCAGAAGCATCACCAAACAGAAAGGCAAAAACAATGGCTGGTTGCAAACAAGTTTCAAAAATACCCCTCATCTGCCATTTTAAAAATAGAAAGTTAAATGTATTAAAATATAATATAATAAAAATAATAAAGTAGCATTTGAGTGAAGGTCTCAAATAAAAATTGTAAAGAAATATGCTTTATAATAAAACAATAAAACAAAGCAAATGAAATATTGTATGAGTGATGAAGGTCTCAAGTACAAAATCCTGAAGAAATGCTTAATAGAAGAATATAAAATACATAAAAATAAAATAAAAAATAGCACGAGTGATGAAGTACACAAAAAAGAAACATGGCTTAAAAAATAAAATAAAATAAAAACATAAATAAATAAATGATAACCCTAAATGTAAAAACATAAAATTGAGAAATGTTGACTTGGCAACTAGCTGAAATAAAATAAGTTTAAGTACTAATATAAAAAAAACAAAAAACTAAAAGTTAAAATATATATAAATATAATAAAAAATATATACATTAAATCTAAATAGAAATATATAAAAACAAAAGCTAATAGAAATAACAACAGCAAAATGACTAAAACTGAAATGAAAAATATCAATTTAAAATATAATAATATAATATAACATCAATATAATAAATAATATCAAAGCTAATGCAAAATAATAATAAATACTATAATACTTTATAAACTACTAAAATAACACTGTACTACTAAATACTAAAACACCAAATTCACACCACTAGCTCAGCCAACATTGTTTGTCAAGATACTCATCTATCTTTACATCTTTAAATAATTATATATATATATATATATATATATATATATATATATATATATACACACACACACACACACACACACTAATATATTATTATAATTTAATACAAAATATGCAAAATACAGTTTCAAAAGGGGATAAAATACATGCACCCTTTCTCTCTCGACTTCAGTATAATTTTAATCTTATAATTAATGCAACCTTATTTGAATTCATATTAAAATAATTTATATAATTTATGCAAAATATAATATCATAGGGGGTGAAATATTTGAACACTTTCTCTTATCCACTTACTATTTTTGAAAACCCAACTCCAGCATTTCTTTCATTTGATAATTAATTCAATGTTATTTGAATTAATATTAATATAATTAAGTTATGCA